CTCTTTCCCTAACATACTCCAGACCCCTCACTGGCTCCCTTTCTTCGTCATCTTCGCCGACAAGCCCCAACCTTCTCAACAAAGGTGATGCCACAGGCTTGATATCGACCTCATTTCCCGGTCTGACAAAGTAGAACAGCCCCAGCCGATGAATATGCGCTTGATCCTCTGGTGGTCTGATTACTCTGTGGATAGTCGACTTGAAGTAGCCTGCAGACCAGAAGGACAAAGTATCACCAACATTACATATGATGCCGTTGGGAACAGGTGGAACGTACTTCCACTCTCCAGCCGGAGTTTTGAGTTGGAGACCTGCAACATCTTGACTCCAGAGTAGTGTCAAGCTTCCGAAATCAGTGTGCGCGCGAGACCAAGTATTCTGAACTTTGGCATCGTCGGCAGCGGGGCGTGGGTGGTAGATCATGTAGCGTAGATGATCTTCTGATGCGTCGTCATAGCGATGTTCATCTGAGAAGTAGGTCTCGGGTAGTTCCAGGATCAAAGAGAAGAGCGTGAAGATCTTGGATGCTATGTCCAGAGAGCGGCGCGAGAAGGACTCGATCTCTGGGCGAAAGGGGTGGAGGAAGTGTGGAAATGGCTCGTGGGAGTTTGAAGGGATGAATTTGGGTATGTTGAGGGATTCAACGTTATCGAGGACCGCGGTGCCCATGATTTTCTTCTCGTTGGCCTTGGCTTTGCGTTAGACAAGCGTAATTTGCTTTCTAATGGCATGGATATGAGGGGCGTACAGCGCGGTATCCAAAGTAGTTGCCCTTTGCGAAATCACATCGGTACTTTGGGTCGCCCTTCTCTTCTAACGGCAAGTCGAAATAAGCTTGACCGATATCATATTGACGCTCGACCTCTTCCCGCGTTAGACCAGTGCCAGTAACGCTGAAGAAGCCCGTGTGGTGCACCTTCGGCGTTGTCAGAAGGGACGTTTGTCGCACAGTTTAGCTGCCAACTCACTGCGTCTCTCAGCTCTTCAGCCAGTTTTTGTTTTCCATTAGGCTCGTCATACGTAGATAGATCAATGACCTTGATCTCTGCCCAGTCTAGCTTCTTCGTTGTTTGCTTGGGCCGTCCCCACTTTGGAATGGAAGGTGGCTGTTGCAGCGTCGCTGATGGCATGTTGCTGGCAGTAGTTTCAACTTACGAGACTTGGGCGACTTGGAGTCCTGTTTGACTTTTATACATTCTGCGACGTTATTCCCGGTTATTTCTAGTCCATCGCAACGGGTTGTGTCTCGCTGCATAGATGCGGAGGTGGCGAGCACGCAATACCCCGCTTGATGATGTGCTCGCATGACAGCATCGCATAACCCATGCTCTTCTTGCAATTACCACATCGGTTTGTTCTTCTCAAACAAATGGGTGGTAAAGCATCGTTGCCAAGCCGTGCCGGCCCTGTCATCCGTTCTTGAACTGGCTATGGTCGGGCAATTTGACCGCCCCTTTTGCCGTCTTCTCCAACAATTTCGACAAAGTCTTGCCCATCCATCATCGCACCGCGCAGCCCATCCAAATCGGAAAATGGGATTTCAGCGTAGCTGTCCCAGATGATCTTTCCAAACTCATCGAACCACCATATTTTCACCCTGCTCTTCTCGATAGCTTCTTCGTCTGCCACATACACATAGTTCTGAACTCGGTTGGCCACTTCTCTGATATCGAACAGCTTTTGATCTGTGATGTTGCCATCTACATGACTCCCGTCCTCTTCCCTCTCGATTTGGTAGATGGCACTTCCATAAACAAGTTCACTACCATCTCCATACTCGTCCATTATACCCAAACCATCGGTCAGTCCGGGAATGCGAAGAAAAAGCTGATCCAGGACTTCCTGATCCAGTCCATGGAAGTCATAAAGCGCACAATCATCTAAAACATGGTTCAAACTTTCAACGCAGCCGTCCTCGATGTTAGCCCCAGAAAGTCGTGCGAGCTCAGCGTAGCTTTGGGCCATTGAGGGCTTGTAACATGTCCTTAACCAGACTGTGTTCCACCCTGAGTACCATCTGCTGATATTGTGTTCTTGGATGGTTTGATGCGGCGCAAATATCTCGTCGATTTGTTTTGTGGTGGGCGAAGGAAGAGATACTGCACCAGGAATTTCGTTCAGTGCGTCCTGGACCCGCTTGTACAGAGGCTGGGTAGCGTCAATTTTAAGGCCAATGCAATCACGCTGTGGCATCGGATAAGGCGTGCCGCACCCATCTCTGCAGGAGGCTTGTACTACGGTACCTCCTGGCTATTTCATTCCATCGCTGATGATGGTCGGCTGGCAGCGCAGGGCTGGTGCTTTCCCAATGTTCCTAAAGGCATGTTAATCACTTGTATCCCCATTCTGTTGTATCGAGTCGGCTTACTAGAGCGAACAGATCGAAAGGGGAGCGAACATGTCGTGTTTCGGCTTCCGCCGACGCCATTATCTCTCAACCTAGGTAGAGGACACCGAGTCAAGCGAATCAGTCGCGCTTTTCGCGAGAGTCCATCAACAGCTTGCCCATAGGAAACATCAGTGTGACCAAGGTAGGTTGCATTGATCTGACACGCTTCAAGCATACCCAACGCGTAAACACCGCGTGTATTAGTCAGCAAGCTAGCGTGCTATCCTGATTGCGCTGACACCTGTTCAAAGGAGCCTGTCACTGTCACCCAACTCTGAGAGCTCGTAAGGCGAGCATATCTTCGCCAGCGGCGTGGACAGTAATCGATCGTAGGGTAAAATGTCAGATGCACGGTGCTTTTCATAAGAAGGCTTCCTGCCATGATTGTGTGGAGGCCTTATCGCCAAGATACCATCGGCACTTTCGCAACCTCCGATTCTGCGTTGAGTAAGAAGTACGAGACGTTGCGCATTCCTTACGGCGCCGGAAGGCACCTGGCAGCCGATGACTTTCCAAGCTTTCCATCATGCACAACTGCACGCCTCGAACGCAACAACTACAAACTCAGCTCCATCCAATTGTCGAACGACCGAGAGATGGTACTAGCGGCGCCAAAGCCACCGATTGTCTTGGGGATCTGGTGATGTCATTAGTCGCGGCAGAATTTCGCCGTAGCGCGCAGGAACCCGATCTGCAAGTAGTAAGGACGGAGTTCCGACTCATGATTGTGTCTGTGTTCTAGTAGGCTGCACCCTGGGTGAATGCAGTGTTGAAGAGTCGGGATGCATGCAAAGGACCGAAAGAGAAAAGGAATGTGATGTATATAGAGTAGTCGGACGGACGTCCGATGCGCATATAATCACACTGCAGCTCTCCCCGTCTTGTATACATTTACCCGCAGCACCTTCCACACGTTCGTCTAGGCAGAATCTCAGTACCTCAGTTCCCACAACCCAAACCTACGGCTTTGTCGAACGTTGGGACTGCCTTCATGATGCCGTCCGCTACACAACCTCTCAATATCCTGATATCAGGATCCGGCATCGCCGGTCCTGTGACTGCGTACTGGCTGCATCGCTTCATGCCCACCTGCCAAATCACCATCGTAGAACGATCGCCGGAACCAAGATTAGGCGGGCAAGCCGTCGATCTTCGCTCATCAGCTCTGCCCATCGTAAAGACGATGGGGATCCTGGAAAAAGTGAAAGAGAGGACTACTACAGAAGTTGGCATGCAATTCGTGTACAGGGATGGGGAAAGGCGCGCAACGTTTGAGGCTACTGGAGAGGAGGAGAGACAAAGTGGTAAGACACCTAGCTTCCATGCACAGTAATCGATGAGAGGAAAAAGACGGCATTGTCAAAGCAACACAAGCACCTAAACTGACCTGATCATAGCAACAAGCGAGTACGAAATCCTAAGAGGAGATATGGCACGCATTGTCTACGAGCTCACACTATCCAACCCAAACATCAAATACGTCTTCGGCGAAATGGCCACAGAGGTCCAACAAGACGAATCCGAAGGCAGCAAAGCACTTGTCACTTTCGCAAACGGCAAGCTCCCACCTACTGAATTTGACGTCGTCATCGGCGCCGATGGCCAAATGTCGCGAACCCGGCGCATCGTGTTCGGCCACGGACCCAAGAACGACGACTATTTGCACCGTCTCGGTCAGTACTCTGCTCTCTTCACCATGCCTCGCGAACCCGTCGATACCCAGTATGCACAGTGGTACAACGCCTCGCGCGGCCGACTGTTCCTTCTACGACCTGACCAGTACGGCACCACGCGAGCGTACCTCGCCATCACCGATGGTGATCTTAGCCGCTTCGAAGAGATTGACAAGCTGTTGAAGAAAGGCACTAGGGAGGAACAGCAAGCGTGGTTCGAGAAGGAGTTCGAGGGTGCCGGATGGCAGACTGAGCGTTGTATACGCGAGATGAAGAGGGCGGATGACTTCTATATGCAGCAGATTGCACAGGTCAGGATGGATACTTGGCACAAAGGGTGTGTGGCCCTGGTGGGTGATGCGGCGTACTGCCCCAGTCCGATTTCTGGTGTCGTAAGTTCTCCTCAACCTTCGTTCTCATCATCGAACCTTCAGACTGATGTCAATACTAGGGTACTGGTGCAGCAATCGTAGGCGCATACGTTCTCGCAGGCGAGATCTCGCGCTCTCAAGATGACATCCCCACCGCGCTCACCAACTATGAACGCATTACACGCGAATATGTCGACAAGGCGCAGAAACTCATCCCCGGAGCCCCGCAAATCGCAAACCCACAGACGGAATGGGGAATCAAGGTCTTCAACACCGTGACCGGGACTTTGTCACATCCGTTCATCCAGAAGTTCAGTGGTGTGATTGGAAAGATCATCCCAGCATTTGGGTCATCAAAGATTTGGAGCCCGCCGGAGTATGGGTTGTGAGGAGTGTGGACGGATGATGTGTTGGAATTTCAGGATGGATTGATCTCGCGCGATATAATTCTGTGAAGAGCTTTTAATGCATTCATCAACTGTTAGCCTGGCGAAGGTCCATCAAGCGAATATTCATGGCAGAATGAGTTATTTAGATCGAGGCCAGCACTGACGTTCTCGACTCGTCTACTCGGCAAGCAGGTCTACACCAACGCTTTTCAGCGCGTCGACCGCCCATACAGGATACTTATCCTTTTCCCTGTTGTACAGATCACCAAAGAAGTCCTTGACAAATTGTGGGTAGCGATCCTGCACGATGGCCTCCCTCGCTTCCCTCATCAAATTTAATTGGTAGTAGACGTTGTGCATGGTGAGAAGGTGGGCACCAGCAGTCTCTTTCGCGGTGACGTGGTATATGTAGGCTCGAGTGATACCCAGTCCGCCATCGGATGTCGGACGGCAGCAGGTGCATCGGCAACCTTGTTCGATTGCGCTAAAGTCTTCGGAGTACATGGCATTGCGTAGGTTGAGGGAGCCGCGGGATGTGATGGCGTTGCCGAATCGCTAAATATTGTTAGCATGGGTCTGTGATGAATAGGGAGAAGACCTTACGGCGGTTCGTGTTGGCCAGACACAGTCGAACATGTCGGCGCCGAGTGCGACGGAGACGACCAGATCTTCCGGATATCCCTAAGTTGGTTAGTAAGCTGTAATAATGCTGAGGGCATCCAAAACTTACGACGCCCATGACATATCGCGGCTTCTTCTCAGGAAGCAGGTCGGTACATGTCTTCACGACTTCGCAATAGGCTGCCTTCTCCTCACCGCCAGAGAGACCTCCTATCGCGATGCCTGGTGTATCTCGCGCAACCATCTCGGCGGTACATTCTTTCCGCATGTCCAGGTCCAGGCCACCTTGTATGATACAGAAAAGGTTCTGTCGGTCTGGGTACTTATGCGCTTGCATGCAGCGGTCAAGCCAGCGTACCGAGCGTTCCATGGCTTCCTTCATACGCGCGTGGTCGGGCGAGGTGGTTGCGATAACGTCGTCGAGTTGCATGATTATGTCGGAGCCGATTGAGTTCTGGAGGGAGATGGAGTGCTCGGGTGTGAGCAGCATGGGCGACCCATCGTGGGGGCTGAGGAAACGGACACCTTCTTCGGTGACTTTGGCGAGTTTGAGGAGCGATACCATCTGGAAACTGGTGTTGGCGTCAGTTATGGTGCGTTCGTTCATCACGTTGGAGGCATGACCCACCCACCACTATCTGCAGGAGTCAGCACTTCCGTCTTTCCATCCCTATACGCTGTGGCATGGTGCACCTGTGAGGATATTGTGTGGCCAGGACTGGAGCTTATGCGCGCCGCCTATGGCATCGAGTGTCGCTTGTCCTGGCTTAAGGCCTCTCCCACATGTCAGCAGTGGCTGGCATGGAGGCAGAACGTCGGCCGTACAGGTGATATGTGTTGTTTAGACATAGTCGGCAGCCCTGGTCTTCGAGTTGGTCGGGCGTGAGGCCTTTGAGCGAGGCCTGCGTCGCAACGGGCATGAAGATGGGGAGGGGTACAGGGCCATGAGGCAGATGCAGCGTTGCCGCGCGTGCTTTGGTGACCTGGGCTTGTCAGGGGATGACCAAGACACGAAACTGACACGATACATACCGAGCACTTTCCCAGCAGCTCAAAGGTGAGGGCCGAAGGCATTGAGACGGGCGCCATGATGCAATTGGAGACGCGACCTGCAGCCGATGAGTCGCTTCAGCTGCAGCCCGTAGTGTTGCGGCCCGTTCGCTTAGCGCGACTTCCCCGTGTTAATCGTCATGCAATCCCAGATCCAGTCTCGGGACCAGCCGAGCGCACCGGAACATAGTGAAGCAGTTGGTAGTGTTCAATCGGCGAGAAATCACGCTTGGACTTTTTCAGAGAACTCACGCGGTTGACATCAGCAGTGACTGTACGTTCATTCCTCCATAAATCTGTTAAGGCAGGCTAGACTACCCAGCTTTACATTGGAACAAGGGAAGGCCAGACTACAAATAACCAACTCTAGATGAACAACTTCGAGCCTTGATACTTCGTCTTCTCCCTGTACACAGTAGACTTGAGCGAAGCCTCAAGCTCTCGCTTCGGGAAACCTTTGAGAGATCGTGCGTACGTTGCGACAGAGTGCGAGATGAGCTTGGTGTTGACAACCCACGCAGTAACGTTGAGGTTTGAAATATCGTCGCAAAGCTGATGGTAGCAAGGATCATACCAGTCCCCAGCCTTGCCCCCAAACATCTCTACTTCCTTCTCCGTCTTGATACCCTCGGCTCCTGTAGCAATGCCACCACCGGGGATTCCGTTGCGAATGAAGCCGTCGTAATCGCTGCGGCCATCAAAGGGAATGAAAGTGTAGTTCAGACCTTGATCCTCGTACCACTTGATGTACAGATCCCGCAACTCTTCGGAGCCGTTCGGGTTCACCGCGTTTGTAGCATTGTAGATTTGGTAGGCGAAGTTGGGGCTGGTACAAGTTAGTCACATTACATGCGCCACGCGTACGGTGATTTCGCTTACCTAGCCATCATATCGTAATCCATGAAGAGGCGGATCTTCTGGTTCTCCTTCTCGGGCAGAGAGGCGACATAGTAGTTGGATCCGAGTAGGCCTTCCTCCTCACCCGCCCACCATGCAAACCTCACACAGTTGGTAACGTTGAACTTGGTAAGTTGAGTAGCAATTTCGAGCAGCGACATTGTGCCTGTTCCATCATCGTTGATACCAGGCCCTTCGGTGACACTGTCGGAATGGCCGCCGAGCATGACGCAGTTGTCCGGATCGCCAGCCGTTGTCTGCGCAATGATGTTGACCGTCAGAATGGTGTTCACTTCAGCGTCAATGTAGGCGATCGCATCCACGCGCTTTCCCTTTTCGAGCTTCTTCAAAATTGGTTCAGCTTCTTCACCGGACAACCCGAATGTAGCTACATGATCGGGAGACGGCGTTCCGAGGGTGCCCGAAACGCTGTCTTTCTCATAGTTGTAGACAATGGCAGCAGAAGCGCCTTTGCGACCTGCATGCTCGGATTTAGTACCAAAGGGGCAGACTCCACGTTTGATGAATGCGATGTTTCCGGCTACTGAGTCTGGGTAATCCGACGCCTGACAACCGTCATTCTCAACAAAAACGAGGTCGGCGTGTACAGGCTCTTTGTCCTTTGTGGGAGGCGTTAAGCCCATGGGATGGGCAGACTTCGGCACGACATCGCCAATGACAAGACGCGACTCAAAGACATTGCCGGACACAGCTGGGAAGGTTTGATTGGTGATTGTGTAGTAGTCGCCAAGTTGAAGGATAGTTTCATAGATGTAAGACAGCGTTCCGAGGTGGCCTGCGACTTCATCAGCATCAGCGTACAACAAATCACGTGCGCAAACGTACCAGCACTCCCGATGACTCTGGTGGGATGGTTGTATTCCTCTTCACCGAGCTTCGCAATCTCGTACATCTTCTTGGCGCGTGCCATCAATCTGTCCCCACTGATGAGGTCTTGGAGCTCGGTCGAGTTGACCAACGGTTTGGTCCCATGTGGATGTCCGAGTGGCGCTTGATTGCCGGACGACATAAGCGGGATCTGGAGCGCCGTCGCGCTTGTGATGGCTGCGCACAGCGCAAAACCAGAGGAGAAGACCATGTTGTGAGTTACGGAGATGGATGGGTTTGGAGACGAGATGGGATGGAAGAGGGTTGTTTGTGTGTTTATGGATGAGTCGCTGTTGCCATGCCGCTAACACGCGCCTCGCGATAAGGCCTGTCCCGTGCACAGTACCAGGTGACTGCTTTTGCTTGAGCATATGTCAAATACATGATGGCTTTTTGTATGTATTGAAGCCTTGTCAAGCTTTGCGATGTGCAGAGGGAAGATCAAGTCGTGAGGGCATAGTTGCGCATCCAGCCGGCGTTACCATGCTGTTGCTAGTCTCTCATCATATGCAAGGTACAATAGATGCGGACCGCCAGGAACCAATCAAGTCTAGATGAACAACAACTCCCCCATCGCATCATGGAATGTCTGCAGACTGATGTGTGTAAGTACATAGTTTCAACAGCAGTAGACGTTCGGTCCTCTCTAAATCGTCATCAGCAACTTGTCGGCCCTTCTCAACATTGCGATCGATGACGGTTCATGCGGTTGTCAGTAGCCAACGCGTTGGAACCAGCGCTTGTATTCCATGTAGCGCCATCGATGCGAATGACCTCTGGTAGCTCGAAGTGTGTCGGTGGCCATCAAATAGCTCGCATGTGCATTGCGGAGATCGAGACCCTTCCCCTTATTGCTGCTAAACCTGAGATGTGGAGTCTCGGCCCACGTCAATGTGCATGGAGCTGAAACCTTGTTCTGGACTCCGCATCGTAGTGCAGCCAAGGCGTGTCAAGCATTGCCAGGGACGTTGCGCGGTGCTTGGTGACGTGTTCTACTGAAGATAAGCTTAGCTAGACACTGAATTACCATGAATCGGTGCCAAAAAGAACCAATGAAGACCAATTGCCTGCGAACGGCGCGCGCTGCTGCAGAGTTACGGTGTAAACGCGCTGCGACATTTTCGTTGTTTGGCGATCATAGCGTCGAGGCTGTGTGTTGTGGACGCGCCCGCCCCGTTGCGAACTGCACCTCGTAAACAAGGAAGCAGGTAGTATACTACTCGTCCCGAAATGACGCCCGGCCCTTTTACAATGTCTAGTCCCACCGGCCCTCTTGTCTTTCTTTTTCACTTACTCTCTATCAACTCCTCTCCAATTACGGCATTACAAACTGCAACCGCTGCAGGGCAACTCGTTCGCCCGCCCTGAAACCCAAGCCAGTGCATTCAACTCTTGCACTTGGCGCACCCTAAAAACCACCCCTTGGGCAATCTTCGTATACCAAAGCCATGGCGCACCGCTCGAGAAGCTCGCGAGACTACCCCGACGGCTCAAGGCACCGCTCGTCGCGCGACCGAGGATATACCAGCGAGAAGCCACGCTCCGTCCCTCCCTCCGATCGCCGTGACAGGCGCGGCTCGTCTCTGCCACAGTACAACCACAATGGACACAAGGTGACCCCCGGCCTTCACCCCGAGGGCGAGAGTGGCCGCAGGGGTTTCAACCCGATCAAGTTCCTTGTCATCAGCGGCAGGAGTAGCAGCACGATGTCTATGCTAGTGAACTGCCTATGGCCCATTGTACCTGTAGCAATTGCACTGGTAAGCGGCACACAAGAGGATATGTTTCTTGTACTAACCGACTATAACAGCACTTTGCGAGGCCCGAATGGCATCTAGCGATCTTCATTACCAACTACATTGCCATGCTTCCTGCAGCCAACTTACTCGGTTTCGCTGGCCAGGAGTTCTCGCGCAAGATGCCAAACAAGGCCTTTGCTGTCGTTCTCGAGACAACATTCGGTTCCGTTGTCGAAGTTATTCTGTTCATGGTCTTGCTCAAAACCTCCAACGGCGACTCAAACGTGCAGGTTATCAAGGCTGCTATATTGGGGTCTATCTTGGCCAACCTGCTCCTCTGCCTTGGTACCTGGTAAGTGTCTGTTCGATGCTCGATCAAGCACTCACTAATTTGCTCCAGTTTCATTGCCGGTGGTGTCAAGCATGACGTCCAAGAGTTCCATAGTGCTGTCTCTGAGAACGGTAGTGGCTTGATGCTCGTAGCTGCCAGTATGTCGATCCTCCTCTTGGCTCGTCAAAGTACCAATGCTAATCTTTATAGCCGCGCTCGTACTTCCCGCTGTCTTCTACGCATACCTCTTCCAAAACCCCGATTACGAACAGACTGTTGATATCGCCTATAACACTCGACTGATATCCCGCGGTGTCGCCATCATCTCCATCGTTGGCTACCTAGTCTACTTGTATTACCAGACCGTATCCCACGATGGGTTGCTCCATGAGATCTACGAGGCAGACGATCACAAGGACAAGGACCGCCACGAGGAATTGGCTAAGCCCAAGCTTACCCTGACCGAAGTCATCGTTGCTCTTCTCGTCTCACTGGCCTGCGTTGCACTCGTCGCTATCTTCCTCGTCCTCGAAATCCCGCATATAGTAGAGCGAGGAGTTAGTGACTCCTTCGTCGGACTTATCCTTATCCCGCTGGTTGAGAAGATCGCCGAGCACCTCCTCGCCATTGACGAAGCCTATGACAATCAGATCAACATGGCCCTTGCCCATGTTCTCGGTGCCTCTATCCAGACCGCCCTGTTCAACGCACCCCTTGTGGTACTGGTTGGCTGGGGTATTGGTGTCGGCATGGACTACAACTTCGCCATCTTCGACGCTGTTGCCCTGGTTCTGGCGGTCCTGGCGGTTGGCTCGTTCCTCCGCGACAGAAGCTCGAACTACCTGGAGGGTGTGCTCTGCGTGATGACGTACGTCATCATCGCAGTATGTGCGTTCTACTTCCCCAACCCTGCACATCACGGTGCTTCCGGAGGCAGCGCTGAGGGTGGCGCTGAGGGTGGCCACTGAAAGAACCGCTCAGATGGCTGTATCTGTAAAGCCACAGGGCTTACTTAAATTGATATTCACACAGCGGTGGTGTTGTGGAGTTTCGTTGCAAATGGGCTGCGAGGAGGATGGTCGGGTTTTCCTATATGTAGCAAGCATCTGTGATGCATTTCTTTGAACAGTCTTTTTTCCAACAGTTTTAAATAGCGAGCGAGAGATACCAATATGATACACGAG